GGAAAGAAAACGAAAGCAGAAGCTAAATTCCTCCAGAGAAGATCTAAGTAAGGGGGGGTGGTGGGGGTTCTTTAACAATATCTACAGAATGTAACAGAGGCATTTAACAGATTTCGGGGAGTGCACATTCTAGACTTTGGATGCCACTACCAGAAAATCTGCCCAGATGGTCCTTGAGACATAAAAACCTCCCTTGACAATCTCAGTGTTCTGTCCCAGCCTTAGCAGAAACAAGAAACAGACTCCTTGTCATAAAACAACCCCTCTTATCTCCTGTAAATTAACGGCATTCACACACTGAAAAGTCCAGGGAATAGTACTTCAAAGAGTTAACTGCAGTAACAGACTTTATCAGTTCCTTGTGATAATTGCCAGGCCGTGAGCTCCTAGCCACAAAGCTGCAAATTAAGTTCTGGCAAGCAGTCTCTGAGGCACAAAACACAATGAGCCAAATCTTCAGAAATCCAAACTGTTGTCTCCTACGACCCTTTCCTTTTATTTATTTCTCAACCAGGGAGGGGCCATTCAGTGTCCACATGTGCTTTGCTTTCTGATCGACTCCTTGTCCTCTCAGTTGTTCTCCTCTCCTAAGAGCTATGTGAATATGCATCTCTGAAACAGGTCCCAACTGTTCATCCTTCCCACTTATCTCAGCATCAAAAGGCAGCTGCCTCTCCGGTGGCTAGGAAATGACGGCCCTGGCTCTATCTCTATGTCTGATGCAGAGCCTCCATCAGAGCCTTTCCCAGACTCTAGAGTTGGCCCAAGTTCCTCCCAACCTATTCATCATCCGAGTTTGCCGCCAGCTCCGCTGGCAGCTGGTAGGCCACAACACTCAGAGATCTGCCATGTTTGTAATTAAGAAGGTGGTAGATACTAATCCCATGACATATGTTTATTTTTTATATAAGAAAAATTGTTGACTCTGGCTCAACAACGAATTGTCAATAGAACAGATGCTTCAACAGATGTGGAATATGAACAGATGTGGCATATGAACTGTGATATGACTGCCAGATGCTGTAGCTTGCAGACCAAGCACAAGGACAGCTCCAATAAAATACATACAATAAACTGTTTCTCAACGTTGACAGCATTGCGATGTGTGGACTTCAGTTCCCAGAATTCCCCAGTCAGCCAGGGGAATGTATCTTAACTCACAGATCTTAAACTTGCCAAGATTGGGAAACACTGAACAAAGCATATATATGAATGACTTTGATTGGTATGCTAACTGTACTCACTCCTGGATAGAGCTAGTTTATTATTGTCCATAAAAGCAATGATTATGTATATACATGTATTATTTATAGATAGGACTCTGTTTGCACCTGAGGAATTTGCCATGGTATGTGTCAGTGAACCCAAACAGTTTCTTTCCTCGGTGTTATGCCATCTGTATAGAGGATGAGAAATCTGCTTTTATTGGTAAGTTGTTTTAAATTTCTTTCATCTTAGCCTATGGAAGGCTCTGTAGTCTGGGGAAGGCTCTTCATCTGCCAATGGAAGCGTTTTTATTGTTGTGGCTGACAGCAAGCAGCTAAAATCTATAACAATTCTGTAACAATACATGCACTAGTTGAGCACTTTTTCCAGTCCAATGGAAATTAGAGAAAATATCCATATTGATATATCAGCACAACAATCTTAGTTACATTTATTTGGGAATAATATCCATTGAGATGAAAAGAACTAACATTTAAATGCACATTAAAATTGCAACTTTCCTGACACTTATTGCCTTGAAGAAGGAATGTTTTATAAGCTCACTTACAACCATGTAATAATTTTGCTTTCTGCAGATGATTTAGGAATGGTCATAGACCGATTTATGAAAACAGATTATTTTCCTACAGGATTATGCAATCTCTTGACCTGTCCTATTTTTTTTTTCAAATCTTAGATTACATTTTTGTGCATAGTTTTGTACTTGGCTATAACACTATGGCAAAAGTTTCCAATTATTTGGAAACTCAAGTGTTATAATGAGCTCCTGTTTTCCATGGCTGCATCCATCTTTTCTTTTCTTTTCCAAAAATCTGCAAAATAGCAATAGCAAGAATTTTTTTGGGAATGAAGAATGTGTAATAGAGACAATGTAGAACTTGTCTATGTTGAAGATGGCTGTGCTTCTTCTTTTCTTGACTGCTTGTGATCAGAACCAATCTGAGGAATTGCCAAGAAGACCTCAATGTCAAATTTTAAGGGTTTGAATGTATCACTTATAAATTATCACTTTTCATTTTTATTCTGGCCAGGGTCAGGAATTGAGGATCTGTGGAAATATCTGAATAGACTGAATAGGACTTACTTATGATGTACTATCTCTAACAGATAATTGCAAGTTAACCCTTTTCTCCTAAAAGATTGTTCATTTTAATAATGATTCAATATTAATGGTCATATTCCTAAACTTATTGTTTTTATACAATAAAAGAAGTATGACAATATTAGGCCTACATTTTTACAAAAACAGATTGTATTCTAGATTTTTTAAATTGTTAGTTGTGTTACTCCAGACAACCTCATTCTTGTTTTGAAAAGCAAAACAAAAACAATACTACAATACTTTAACATTCACAGTGTACTAAAATCCTCTTCTAATGATACACAAATTATACCAGTTGGCAGAGAGAGAAAAAGTATCTGGAGATGTTTCCAAATCATTTCACACTTGCAGCCATCACTTATTTCCTCACAGCTGCTTCAGATCTTAATTCTCTCCTTACAGATAGTAACCGAGACCCTATTCTATATGCTCATCCAGGTCCATTCTACCTGGTAAAATTATAGCAGATAAATAAAATATTGGATTTTCATAATACATCTCCAATATCACATCAGGTTTGGCATGCTGCCCTTGTGGAAATGGGACCAAATATACAGTATCACTGCAGTTTAAATGGTTCTGGATGGATTTGGTGCTATTTTCATCATATGCTTATAGTTCTGCTTTCTGCTTTATCATTTAGACAATTTGCTGCTTAAAAGAAATGTCATGTATTTCAGATGACTTCAGAAAAACAGCAGCCTTCTGCATAGTTAAATGGATTGTCAATTTGCATATTTCTGATGACTGGTCGTTTAAAGAAAACAGTGATAGAGAAGATGAAATTCAGATTAAAGGTATTCTTTAGAATTGTAGCTGTCTCTACAGTGGAATAAATGTCCTTTCGTTGCACTATCAGTCGGCCTTTTTATTTTAATGAAATCTACAAAACCTATTTCCTCGTAAATTTTGGACTGCATAAATGTTATATATCCAAATCACAGGGGCCTTACAAAAAAGCCTTGAGGGGAGATAGAATATATAGCAGTGGTGAAATTTTATTTATTTTTTACTCCCGGTACTGTGGGCGTGGTTTGGTGGGCANAACTCACCAAGGTTGAGAAACACTGATATAGAAAAGGACTGACATGATAGCAGTGGTCCAATATCTGAGGGGCTGCCACAAAGAAAGGTAGTCAACTTATTTTCCACAAAAAATATATATTTGCCACAAAGAAGAGGTAGTCAACTTATTTTCCAAAGCACCAGAAGGTAAGAAAAGAAACAATGGAAACTAATGGATGGAAACAAATCAAGGACAGAAGCAACCTAGAACTAAGGAGAAATTTCTTAATAGTAAGAACAATTAACAAGTGGAAAATCTTTCCTTCACAAGTTGTGGATAATTCACAGGGGTGGAATTCACTTACCTTTCCTACAGGTTCGCAAATGTGAGAGCACGCTCACATTTTTTTTTTACAGAATTTCTTAACAAGGGTGAAATATGAGATTTCCCCCTTAGGATTTGACTTGTCAACAATGTTGTTTAGTTATAAATATGTTAATTAATGCTGGAGGCAAAGATGGGGCCTAAAGAGTCACAGAGTTACAGTCCTTTTTATAGACTGATGCAAACTACAACACACCTGTGATGGGAAAAAGCAGCCTGGCATTTCATTGGGAGCAACAACTCATATTTACTTCCCCTCCCCTTGAATTGTGAGCCGCCCTGAGTCCCCCCAGGGAAAAGGGCGGCATACAAATAAAGTTAAAATCAAATTAAAAAATCAAATATGCCTAATGAAGTCAGTGAGATCATTAAGGTGTAACTATGAGGTAAAGAGGTAGGACTACAATGGCAATGAGGTTTTGAAAAAAAGAAGGAGGCAGTTATTCCATAGTGTGTTTCGGGAAATTACTTTCTTTAGCTTTCATAGAGGTCTGCTGAGCTCCCAGTATCTTTTCCCCAACTTACTCAGCATTCCTTGGCTTCCTGACTGTTCTCTGGCTATGCTAACATTGTAGTTTTTCTGGGAAAGTCTTTTTATAATGGGATAGTTGTCCAATTTGACACTGGAGCCAATGCTTTCTTTTCCTGGAGAAGATATATTTGGCTTTGGGGATTTAGTTGGCTCTATAATGTCGATAGCATGCTGGCAAATCTCGAGGTTGACATCATTGTGGGATTTGGCTTTGTGGAAGCAGTCCTCCCAGTTGATAGTGTTAAAATATTTTTTGGAATTGAATGATCCGATTTCTGTCACATCAAGCTTGTAATCAACTATTGGCCAGAATTATGTCTATGCTGATTGACAACAATTTTCCAAAGTCTCAAGGAAAAAAATGTTGATGAATCAAAGATCTTATGAATGGAAAACAGATGTTCTACCATGGGAACAGAGTTGCCCTTACATTATCCAAGATATATTACCCATCGAGCAAAGGCAAAGGTAATTTGATGTGATGAAAATAAAATTTCCGTATTGCTGTTTTGAGTATTCTGCCATTTCACATAGGTAGCAAGTTAGTTGTCATCCACAAGAGATGCCAGAATCCATTCCAAGCTTATTATTTTGGAAATTGTATATTTTGATCTTAGAGTTGTCCGTGTTAGACAACTCAAGTTATGGGAAAATTAGAATATTTGAAGTAGAATAGATTAAATCTCAGTTGAAAATTCATAGGTAATATAGGAGTGGTAAAAGATGACATTTTCCTGTCTGATCTAAGCAAGAGGTAGAGGATGGAGTTCAAAGGGAAGAATAAACTTAAAATTACAATATTCTTCCTTTTGCATAACTTAACTACCTGACATATGAAATAAATGTTTTGAGGCCTGGAACCAACTTAATAACTTCAGAGGGTTTCAGATGATCCTCTTGTGTTGACATATACAATGATGGCGATGGTGGAGGAGGGGGAGGAGGGGGTGGAGGATAGGTCTGTCTTGATGGGATGTATTTTTGTCATGCCTCTAATAATTGATTTGTAATGCATATGATAAGAATGGATTTATATTTTATGAGCCTGAGGACATAGATAGTGTCTAGTCAACTACAGGTTCTCTTGACTCTCACTTGTTGTGGCTTATACATGCTAAAAGAAGGGCGTGGTCCTTAAATTGGTAGAAATTATCTCCAGGGAAAAAAATTGGGCATATTTTGAGGGAAATGTGGCAGTTGGTAATTTGTTATTTGTGATTTGGAACTATCATTTGTGCAAAACATCAGAG